CTGTTGTTGCTGCTGTTGCTGCTGCTGCTGCACTCCCACCCGCCTTCCCCGCCCTGGCTTCCTGCTCACCCCCAAGCATTCGGGAGGAGGCGTGTGTGGGGGGAGGGGGGTGGGGGTGAGGAGCGGGTGAGGGGAGGAGACGGTGGGTAGGGGGGCAAGGGGGGGCAGTGGGTAGCGCACACACACACACACAGGGGGTTGTTGCCAGGCACTTGTGTGTGTTGTGGGGAGGGGTGAGAGCAGTGGTGGCGGGGGGGCAGGGAGTGGAGTTAAGGTCGGTTCCGTTCCTCGGTGTGTCGAGAAAGGGGGGCCGACCACCTGTGCCTGGGAATCAAACACGGCAGCGTGGGGCGAGGAGCAGAGGGTGGGGGGACGCTCCGGAGTCCTCCTCCACGTGTCTGCCGGAGGGACCACCCCACGTCACCCCACGTCACCCCACGCCACGTCACGTTGGGGGGGGGGGGGGGGGCGCTTGGTTTATTTCCATTCAAAAACGCCGCGAGTTTCCCCCCCCCCCCCCCCCCCCCGTAATAAACAGTCACCGTGACAAAACCGAAGCCTCCACAATCATCGCCGCCGCCAACAGCAACAAGCTGCGTCGCCGCACACATTTTCGCCGCCGCTTTCCCGCCTCCTCCTCCTCGGCGAGATCGCGCGGCGCCCGGCGCGGTGGGGATGGGGGCGGGCGGGCGAGCGAGATCTTAAAGCCCCAGTGGTCTCACATCAGAGCGGCTCAAGACGCACACGCAGCAGGAACGCGACAAACAGGCCGCGCACCGCCGCTGCTTCCAAGCGGCGTTTGATTTTGTGCTCGGACGCGGGTTTTGTTTTATCTCCGTTTTGGTTTCGCGGTTCCGTCTTCGGCGCGGGGTGGAGCGTTCCGCTTCCGGGGGGGGAGGGGGGGGGGGGTTTGGTTCGTTTCCGAGGTTTTTGTTCCCGGCGCAAGCAACGAGGAATTTCCACCAACATGCTTTGTAAACTGGGGCTTTAAGGGCATTTCTCTCGTGACGTCCTTGTTATCGCCACACGCTTGTGGCGTTAACCCAACACACTTCTCTCCCCCTCTCCCTGACTCTGGGTTGCTGAGCGAGAACAGCGGACTCGGGGGGGCGGCGTGAGGCGGGGAGAGGGGAAGGGTGAGAATGGGGGGGGGAGGGAGAGGAAGACACGGAGTGGTGAGAGCAAAGGAGAGGAAAGATGGAGGGAGGAGATAGGAGGATGTGGACTGTGGCTCTCTGGACGAGCGCGACCGTCTCTGCGTGACCCTGCGGGTTTCTGAGAGACAATGCGGGTCTCCGGGCGAGGGTCCCTGGGTGACCCTGCGGGTCCCTGCGGCTCCCTGCGGGTCTCTGCGGGTCTCTGAGCGAGCCGTTGTGAGTCTGGAAGAGCCTGCGGGTGTCTACGTGGCCCTGCGGGTCTCTGCGTGCCCCTGCAGGTGTCTGAAATAGCCAAGAGGGTCTCTGGGTGAGCGCGAGTTGTTCTGGGTGAGCCTGTGGCTTTCTACATGACCCTAATGGTCTCTGCGTGACCCTGCGGGTCTCTGCCTGACCCTGCGGGTCTCGTGTGACCCTAATGGTCTCTGCGTGAGTCTGTGGCTCTCTGCGTGACCCTGCGGGTCTCTGCGTGACCCTGCGGGTCTCTGCGTGACCCTGAGGGCTCTCTGCGTGACCCTGAGGGTCTCTGGGCAAGCTCGCGGGTCTCTGGGCAAGCCTGTTGTGTCTACGTAAGCGTCTCTGTGTGTGACTGGGAGAGCCTGTTGTGTGTCAGGGAGAGCCTGTGTGTGACTGGGAGAGCCTGTGTGTGACTGGGAGAGCCTGTGTGTGACTGGGAGAGCCTGTGTGTGTCTGGGAGAGTCTGTGTGTGACTGGGAGAGCCTGTGTGTGTCTGGGAGAGTCTGTGTGTGACTGGAAGAGCCTGTGTGTGACTGGAGAGCCTGTGTGTGACTGGGAGAGTCTGTGTGTGACTGGGAGAGTCTGGTGTGTACTGGGAGAGCCTACTTGTGACTGGGAGAGCCTGTGTGTGACTGGGAGAGTCTGTGTGTGTCTGGGAGAGTCTGTGTGTGACTGGGAGAGCCTGTGTGTGACTGGGAGAGCCTGGTGTGTGACTGGGAGAGTCTGTGTGTGACTGGGAGTCTGTGTGTGTCTGGGAGAGCCTGTGTGTGACTGGGAGAGTCTGTGTGTGTCTGGGAGAGTCTGTGTGTGACTGGGAGAGTCTGTGTGTGACTGGGAGAGCCTGTGTGTGGACTGGGAGAGCCTGTGTGTGATTGGGAGAGCCTGTGGTATCTGGGAGAGCCTGTGTGTGACTGGGAGAGCCTGTGTGTGACTGGGAGAGTGTGTGGTGTGTGACTGGGAGAGCCTGTGTGTGACTGGGAGAGCCTGTGTGTATCTGGGAGAGCCTGTGTGTGACTGGGAGAGCCTGTGTGTGACTGGGAGAGCCTGTGTGTGACTGGGAGAGCCTGTGTGTGTCTGGGAGAGTCTGTGTGTGTCTGGGAGAGCCTGTGGGTGACTGGGAGAGCATGTGTGTGACTGGGAGAGTCTGTGTGTCTGGGAGAGCCTGTGTGTGTCTGGGAGAGCCTGTGTGTGACTGGGAGAGTTGGTGTGTGACTGGGAGAGCCTGTGTGTGACTGGGAGAGGCCTGTGTGTATCTGGGAGAGCCTGTGTGTGACTGGGAGAGCCTGTGTGTGACTGGGAGAGCCTGTGTGTGATTTGGGTGAGCCTGTGTGTGACTGGGAGAGCCTGTGTGTCTGGGAGAGTCTGGTGTGACTGGGAGAGCCTGTGTGTGTCTGGGAGGAGCCTGTGGGTGACTGGGAGAGCCTGTGTGTGACTGGGAGAGTCTGTGTGTCCTGGGAGAGCCTGTGTGTGTCTGGGAGAGGCCTGTGTGTGACTGGGAGAGCCTGTGTGTGACTGGGAGAGTCTGTGTGTCTGGGAGAGCCTGTGGTGTTTGAGAGAGTCTGTGTGTGACTGGGAGAGCCTGTGTGTGACTGGGAGAGCCTGTGTGTGACTGGGAGAGTCTGTGTGTGTCTGAGAGAGCCTGGGTGTGGACTGGGAGAGTCTGTGTGTCTGGGAGAGCCTGTGTTGGATGGGAGAGTCTGTGTGTGTCTGAGAGAGTCTGTGTGTGTCTGAGAGAGCCTGTGTGTGACTGGGAGAGCCTGTGTGTGACTGGGAGAGTCTGTGTGTGACTGGGAGAGTCTGTGTGTGACTGGGAGAGTCTGTGTGTGACTGGGAGAGCCTGTGTGTGACTGGGAGAGTCTGTGTGTGACTGGGAGAGCCTGTGTGTGTCTGGGAGAGCCTGTGTGTGACTGGAAGAGCCTGTGTGTGTGACTGGGAGAGTCTGTGTGTGACTGGGAGAGCCTGTGTGTGTCTGGGAGAGTGTGTGTCTGGGAAAGTCTGTGTGTGACTGGGAGAGCCTATGTGTGTCTGGGAGAGTCTGTGTGTGACTGGGAGAGCCTGTGTGTGACTGGGAGAGTCTGTGTGTGACTGGAGAGCCTGTGTGGTGACTGGGAGAGTGTGTGTCTGGGAGAGTGTGTGTGTGACTGGGAGAGCCTGTGTGTGACTGGGAGAGTCTGTGTGTCTGGGAGAGTCTGTGTGTATGGGAGAGCCTGTGTGTGACTGGGAGAGTCTGTGTGTGACTGGGAGAGCCTGTGTGTGTATGGGAGAGCCTGTGTGTGACTGGGAGAGTCTGTGTGTGACTGGGAGAGCCTGTGTGTGTCTGGGAGAGTCTGTGTGTGACTGGGAGAGCCTGTGTGTGACTGGGAGAGTCTGTGTGTGACTGGGAGAGCCTGTGTGTGACTGGGAGAGCCTGTGTGTGACTGGGAGAGTCCTGTGTGTGGGAGAGTCTGTGTGTGACTGGGAGAGCCTGTGTGTGCCTGGGAGAGTCTGTGTGTGACTGGGGGAGTCTGTGTGTGTCTGGGAGAGCCTGTGTGTGACTGGGAGAGCCTGTGTGTGGCCTGGGAGAGTCTGTGTGTGTATGGGAGAGCCTGTGTGTGTCTGGGAGAGTCTGTATGTGACTGGGAGAGCCTGTGTGTGACTGGGAGAGCTGTGTGTGACTGGGAGAGCCTGTGTGTGACTGGGAGAGACTGTGTGTGACTGGGAGAGCCTGGTGTGACTGGGAGAGCCTGGGTGTGACTGGGAGAGCCTGGGTGTAACTGGGAGAGTCTGTGTGTCTGGGAGAGACTGTGTGTGTCTGAGAGAGTCTGTGTGTGACTGGGAGAGCCTGTGTGTGACTGGGAGAGCCTGTGTGTATCTGGGAGAGTCTGTGTGTGTCTGGGAGAGCCTGTGTGTGACTGGGAGAGTCTGTGTGTGACTGGGAGAGACTGTGTGTGACTGGGAGAGTCTGTGTGTGACTGGGAGAGTCTGTGTGACTGGGAGAGTCTGTGTGTGTCTGGGAGAGCCTGTACGTGTCTGGGAGAGCCTGTGTGTGACTGGGAGAGCCTGTGTGTGACTGGGAGAGTCTGTGTGTCTGGGAGAGCCTGTGTGTGTTTGAGAGAGTCTGTGTGTGACTGGGAGAGCTGTGTGTGACTGGAGAGCCTGTGTGTGACTGGGAGAGTCTGTGTGTGTCTGAGAGAGCCTGGGTGTGACTGGGAGAGTCTGTGTGTCTGGGAGAGCCCTGTGTGTGACTGGGAGAGTCTGTGTGTGTCTGAGAGAGTCTGTGGTGTCTGCAGAGAGCCGTGTGTGACTGGGAGAGCCTGTGTGTGACTGGGAGAGTCTGTGTGTGACTGGGGAGAGTCTGTGTGTGACTGGGAGAGCCTGTGTGTGACTGGGAGAGCCTGTGTGTGACTGGGAGAGTCTGTGTGTGACTGGGAGAGCCTGTGTGTGTCTGGGAGAGCCTGTGTGTGACTGGAAGAGCCTGTGTGTGACTGGGAGAGAGTCTGTGTGTGACTGGGAGAGCCTGTGTGTGTCTGGGAGAGTGTGTGTCTGGGAAAGTCTGTGTGTGACTGGGAGAGCCTATGTGTGTCTGGGAGAGTCTGTGTGTGACTGGGAGAGCCTGTGTGTGACTGGGAGAGTCTGTGTGTGACTGGGAGAGCCTGTGTGTGACTGGGAGAGTGTGTGTCTGGGAGAGTGT